CAACATAAGTACATAATTTAGTTCTATGCGAATATATTTTTAGTTACCCCTAACTCATTAATAATTTTAAAATTAATTCGATAATTTTAAAAATAATTCAATAATTATTTACATATGTTTATGCATATTTTTTTTGTCCAAAATATCTCTCGATTTGAAATTTGATAATAACAATTTTTTTTTTGGTTTAAACACAAACCTTTAAAAGTTAAAATTTCCTATTTTGTTTATTCATTCATGTTTCTCCTTTTTCTCTACTGTTTTATCTTCGTATCCCCCAACGAACAGCTTTTGTTTCAACCATTTCCTAGTAAAATTATATCCAAAAAAAAAATCTCCAAAACTTCTTCTCTAAGTTCAAATAATTGTATGAAATGATTATTCTCCACCAATATCTTGGTAAATAAATAAATTTTAATTGTTTATTGATAAATTAAAATTTAACAAAAATTTAACAAATGTTGGAAGCAAAAAATATGATAATTTTTACATGTTGGTTTTGTCTCGTAAAAAAAAATGCATGTCAAAGTAAAGTCTTGCTAATTAATCATTGAAATATAATGTTTGACAATGTGATTTCATAAACTCATAAGTCGATTTAATAGGTAGAAGACATTTTTTTTTTTTGTCCTCACATAAGCAAGAAAAAAGATTTACTTGGAGGGAAACAAAAGTGTCTTGATAATTTTATTTTGTCAACTATGTTCAGTTAGTTTGTATCTGATCATGATCTAAACATTGAAGCAAATGTATGACAAACTGAAAATGATGGAGGCGATGGAGGGTAAATCCTCTTAATTGCGTAGTATATGTTGTTTACTTTCTTTTGATTTTTCTTCCGACTCTTTTGATCTTTTTTTTAAGTTGCACCACATAAACCTTTTTTATGGGAAATTGGTACCAATAACTATATAAAAAAATTATAATCCATTAAATAACTAATTAATCTAAATTTTGTTGCTATTGTAATTCCACATATGCGATTTTTTGTTATTTTGCTAATTATAATTCATGTTTGGTTATTAAGTAAACTCACCCTTTTTTTAT